TCTGTAGTTCCTGGAGATCCTTTCATGAGTGTTCTGTAGTTCCTGTAGATCCTTTACCTCTTTGGCTTGGTTTATTCCGAGGTATCTTATGGTTTTTGGTGCTATTGTAAATGGAATCGTTTCTTTAATTTCTCTTTCTACAGTTGTATTGTTAGTGTATAAGAAAGCAACTGATTTCTGTGCATTGATTTTGTATCCTGCCACATTACTGAATTGCTGTATGAGTTCTAGTAATTTGGGCGTGGAGTCTTTTGGGTTTTCCACATAAAATATCATATTGTCTGCGAAAAGAGAGAGTTTGACTTCTTCTTTGCCAATGTGAATACCTTTTATTTCTTTTTGTTGTCTGATTGCTGTTGCTAGGACTTCTAGTACTATGTTGAACAATAGTGGCGAGAGTGGGCATCCTTGACGTGTTCCTGATCTTAAGGGAAAGGCTCTCAGCTTTTCCCCATTGAGGATGATATTCGCTGTGGGTTTTTCATAGGTGGATTTTATGAACTTGAGGAAGGTTCCCTCATCCTTATACTCTGAAGAGTTTTAATCAGGAAAGGATGTTGTATTTTGTCAAATGCTTTTCTGCATCAATTGAGAGGACCATATGGTACTTCTTCCTCCTTTTATTAATGTGTTCTGTCCCATTGATTGATTTGCAAATGTTGAACCACCCGTGCATCCCGGGGGTAAATCCCACTTGGTCGTGGTGGATGGTTCTTTGTATTGTTGGATCCTATTAGCTAGGATTTTGTTGAGGATTTTGGAATCCATATTCATCAGGGATATCGGTCTGAAATTCTCCTTTTTGATGGGGTCTTTGCCTGGTTTGGGGATTAGGGTAATGCTGGCTTCATAGAATGAGTTTGGAAGTTTTCCTTCTGTTTCCATTTTTTGAAACAGCTTCAGTAGAATAGGTATTATTTCTTCTTTGAATGTTTGGTAGAATTCCCCAGGTAATCCATCAGGCCCTGAACTCCTGTTTTTTGGGAGGTTTTTGATCATTGGTTCAATCTCGTTACTGGTTATTGGCCTATTCAGGTTGTCAGTTTCTTCCCGTTTCAGTCTTGGCAGCTTATAGGTTTCCAGGAAGGCCTCCATTTCATCCACATTGCTCAGTTTATTGGCATAATTGTTTCTATATTCTTGGTGTTAGTTGTGATCTCTCCCCTTTCATTCATAAGTCTATTAATTTGGGTCCTTTCTCTTTTCTTTTGGATAAGTCTGGCCAGTGGTTTATTGATCTTATTAATTCTTTCAAAGAACCAACTTCTAGTTTCGTTGACCTGATCTACTGTGTTTCTGGTTTCTAATTCATTGATTTCTGCTTTAATTTTAACTATTTCTCTTCTAATGCGTGGCTTAGGCATTGTTTGTTGCTTTTTCTCTAGTTCTTTAAGGTGTAGAGTTAGTTGGTGAATTTGGGATTTTTCTATTTTTTTGAGTGAGGCTTGGATGGCTGTGTATTTCCCCCTTGGGACCGCCTTTGCAGTATCCCATAGGTTTTGGACCGATGTGTTTTCGTTCTCATTGATTTCCATGAATTGTTTGAGTTCTTTGATTTCCTGGTTGACCCAAACATTCTTGAGCAGAGTGGTCTTTAGCTTCCAAGTGTTTGAATTTCTGCCAAATTTTTTCTTGTGATTGAGTTCCAGTTTTAAAGCATTGTGGTCTGAGAATATGCAGGGAATAATCTCAGTCTTTTGGTATCAGTTGAGACCTGATTTGTGACCCAGTATGTGGTCTATTCTGGAGAAAGTTCCATGTGCGCTCAAGAAGAATGAGTATTCTGTTGTTTTAGGGTGGAATGTTCTGTAAATATCTATGAGGTCCATCTGGTCCAGTGTATCATTCAAAGCTCTTGTTTCCTTGTTGATTTTCTGCTTAGATGATCTGTCCATTGCTGAGAGTAGAGTATTGAGGTCTCCTACAATTAACGTATTATTATCAGTATGACTCTTTATTTTGGTTAACAGTTGGCTTATGTAGATAGCTGCTCCCATGTTGGGGGCGTAGATATTTACAGTTGTTAGATCTTCTTGTTGGATAGACCCTTTAAGAATGATGTAGTGTCAAAAAAAAATGATATAGTGTCCTTCTGTGTCTCTAATTACAGACTTTAGTTTACAATCTAATTTGTCTGATATAAGAATTGCTACCCCAGCTTTCTTTTGAGGTCCGTTGGCATGGAAGATGGATCTCCATCCCTTCACTTTCAGTCTGGATGTATCTTTAGGTTCAACATGAGTCTCTCATAGGCAGCATATGGATGGGTCCTGTCTTTTTATCCAATCTGCAACCCTGTGCTGTTTTATGGGAGCATTTAGGCCATTCACCTTGAGCGTGATTATTGAAAGATACGAATTGTCATCATGTTGCCTGTTGTTTTTATAGATTGTCCCTGTAAATTTCTTTTATATATCACTCTGGGGGGCTTTCTCCTTTTATAGAACCCCCCCTTAATATTTCTTGCAGGGCCGGCTTAGTGGTCACATATTCTTTCAGTTTCTGCTGGTTGTGGAAGCTCTGCATCTCTCCATCCATTCTAAATGACAGCCTTGCCGGATAAAGTATTCTTGGCTGCATGTTCTTCTCATTTAGTACCCTGAATATGTCTTGCCAGGCCTTTCTGGCTTGCCAGGTGTCTGTGGATAGGTCTGACGTTATTCTGTTGTTCCTCCCTCTGTACGTAAGGAATCTCTTCCCCCTAATTGCCCTTAAGATGGTTTCCTTGGTTCTAAGATTTGCAAGTTTTACTGTTACATGCCGGGGTGTTGGCCTGTTTTCCTTGATCTTGGGAGGGGTCCTCTCTGCCTCTAGGAAGCAAATGTTTGTTTCATTCCCCAGATTAGGGAAGTTCTCAGCATGATTTGCTCAAATACATCTTCTAGTCCCCTCTCTCTCTCCACTCCCTCCGGGATTCCAATTATTCTGACATTGGAATGCTTCATGGTGTCACTTATTTCTCTGATTCTATTTTCATGGATTCTGAGTTGTTTTCCCTGGCCTGTTTTCCCTTTTTATCTATTATATTGTCTTCCAGGTCGCTTATTCGTCCTTCTGCCTCACTTACCCTAGCTGTTAGATTACCTAGATTGGATTGGATCTCATTGATAGCATTTTTAAGTTCTGCTAATTCAGCTTTCGTTTCTGTCCTTAGAGACTCTATGTTGCCATTAATTGATTTCTCCATTCTAGCCATTGTCTTCACAATTGCTAGCCTAAATTCCATCTCCGACATCTTGGTTATATCTGCATCCATTTGTAAATCTGCAGCATAAGTCATAATCTCTGAGTCTTTTCTATTTTGGGGGTTCATCCTCCTAGTCATTCTGTTGATGGGTGTTTGAGGGAATGCATAGAGTCCAAATTATTGACCAGAACCCAAGCAAGATGCACCTCTTTTCTTGGGACCTTAGGGTTGCTGGCCTCTTGTTTTCCCAGCCGGTTTTCTGCGGGAGGGGCCTGTCGCACTGTTACTCAGGCAACCCTGTTTGGGCGAAGTTGCCCTGCCCCCCTGTGGCGGGGGATGGGCTCAGCGGGAATCAGTTTTTGGGGCTTTTGTTTTCTGGCGGCTTTCCGCATCTCTTCGCGAGTCAGAGAAGAGACTGTTTCCAACCCTCTGCCTCAGAGCAGAGAGACCGCAGTCTGTTCTTCAGTGAGCTCTCCAGGCCACACTGTCTCCGTTTCTGTCTGTGCTGCTATAAACTGCAGAGTCCTGGGTTGTGCACCCCTCTGCAGCGCCCCCAGTCCTGCCTCCAGGTCGGGGCACGTCTCTGACCTTTGTGCTTCTAAAACCGCCAGCCGCCCCCAGATCGCTCGCTGGACCCCACCGCTCCGGGTTTCCGCGCCGGGGGCTGCCCTAAAGTCCTTTCCCTGCCACTACTGGTCTGTGAGTCTGTACCCCATCCCCAGCGCGCCAGGCTGTCGCTCACCGGCGGTGTAGGATCCCCACGGCCAGGCACCCTCCTGCTGCCATTTATCCTTGGATACCTGTCCGCTGAATCAGGGCTCCCCGCTTCCTACCTCAAAACCAACCGCCTGCGATATTCAGTTTGTAGAGCTCCAGATCTTCCTACGTCTCAGGCTGGTTTCGTGGGTGCTCATAGTTGTCTGGTAGATACCCAGCTCAATTCTGGGGACCAGTTGAAATAGGGTCCCCTACTCCTCCGCCATCTTTCCTTCCTCTCTCCTTTTTCTTGTTTAAAAGAAATTAAACATTTTTTCTGGTTAAAAATTGTGTTGATTCTAGAAAAGTTTAAATAAAAAATAATCTGTTTGGATTATTTTTTATACATTATATATAGTAAAACTTGCAAATCTTAGAACCAAGGAAACCATGTTAAGGGCAGATTATATAATTGTAATCAATTCAGAACAGAGTTTAATTGTCTTTGCATATTATATGTTTTACAGCATTGGGATCATTAATGTATGTTTTGATATACTTTTTTCATTTATCATATCATTGACTTTTTACAGATGTCTGGGGTCAAATAATCTCTTATTAGATGAACATCCAAACTTAAAAGAACTATGTCAATCAAGTACTCAGTTTGATGTTTTCTCCAAGTTAGAGTTAACTAACTCTGAAAGAAGACAGTCTGAATGTTGCAGAGAAAACTAGCATGACAGTGGTTATTTCTTACGTGTATTGCTAGTTTCTATTTTAGCAGATACTAGAAATGATAGAAGGAACTCTATGGAGAAGATTCTGAACTATATATATGGTAAGAAGAGAGTGAAACATTCAGTCAAGTGATAAGTATGTTAAGTGTAGATCAAGAAATAGAAAAAAATGATTTTCACAAAATGGGAAGATAAATTAGTACTAAAATAATGTAGTTGGAAAATAAGATACAAGGTTGGAAATTGTATTTTGGAAATATTTAACTTAATGTCATTTACATTATTTTTTTAACATCATTTACATTATTGTGCTAGGACCCAGTACCACCACAGAAACAGAAACAATTGCTAAATATGAAATAATGGATGGTGCACCAGTAAAAGGTAACATACTTTTCATTTACTTCTTTTGTGTGATAGGTAGTACAAACGGCAGTGTTCATGGCAGTTTAATTAGCAATAATCGTGCCTCGGATAAACCTCATTGGCTACGATACTGCCACTGCGCAAAGCTTTGTTCATGGCAGTTTAGTTTGAAAGTGTTTATGCAGTGTAAAAGTATTTGTGAATTCTTAAAGTGGTTCTGATGATGATGTTTTTAAGATCGTCTTTGTATAGATACTGAAAGACTGTAATAGTACTTCCTAGTCTGAAATAAGGTTTAATTTTTTACGCAGTTTAAATTTTAGTATTTAGGGGCACATGGGTGGCTCAGTTGGTTAAGCCTCTGTGTCTTGATCTTAGCTCAGGTCTTGATCTCAGGGTTGTTAGTTCAAGGCTGGCACTGGGCTCCATGCTGCGCGTGGAGCCTACTTAAAAGAAAGAAAGAGAGTGAGAAAGAAAGAGAGAGAAAGAAAGAAAAAGAAAGAAAAAAATCTTTAGTATTTAGAAGAGACATTTATATATTATCTCTTATCTAATTCTGAATTTGTAATATTTTGATTGTCTTCTGTTATGATAGTTTATCTCGGTAAGTCTTTTTTACTCATGCTGAATACAAGGTGCTGTTTAGCTGAGCATTAATTTCTGTGGGATTCTGTAATCCTTATAGCTCCCAAGAAAACAAGCAGTTCCATTATTATCTTCAGTATCCAAGATAATAAAGCCAGTATTTATAATTTTACCTTTTTAAAGATTTTTAATTTTTTTTGAGTAACCTGTATACCCAACAAGGGGCTCGAATTTACAACCCTGAGATCAAGAGTCACATGTTCAGGACTCCTGGGTGGCTCAGTCAGTTAAGCGTCTGCCTTCAGCTCAAGTCATGATCCCAGGGTTCCAGGATCCAGACTGACGTCAGGCTCTCTGCTCAATGGGGAGCCTGCTTCCTCTCTCTCTGCCTGCCACTCTCCCTGTTTGTGTTCTCTGTCTCCCTTGTCAAATAAATAAATCTTAAAAAAAAAAAAAGTCACATGCTCTACTTACTGAGCCAGCCAGGTACCTCAGTATTTATCATTTTACATCTATATCTTTGGCTTTTTCTCATTCGGTTAGTAATTATTTCAAAAAGTAGCTATCATTTACTGAGTGCCAGCTATAGATGAGGCATTGTACTCTGAGGTGCTCCAATGTTTCCTTTGAGTTAGGTGATGGTATCTTATTCTACAGATTAAACAGATACAAAGAGGTTAAAAAACTTGTTAAAGGTAAAGTGTAGGGGAGGCAGAACTTTACCTCTACCCATCTTAGATTTTCAGCTGGGACTCTCAGGACAGATTAATAAAGGAAAAAAAAGTTTATTAATGTGTGCAGTGCACATCATGCAGGAAAAACCTCAACAAAAAATAACTCAAAACAGTGGCTTAGAATTTCAGCATATATAGCATCAAAAGAACAATAAATTTCGAGATCTAACTGGAAAAAGGAAAGTAGTTGCAGGCTTCTCCAGGGGTGTGGCAAGCTGTGTGAAGGTAAATAAATCTAAGGGAGGAAACAAATGGAGTAAGGTTTGTTTGCTCATTCCTGATCAGCCATCCCTGAGCTGATAAGACTATCTTCATTAAAGGGAGAAGTTATAGCCTGCCTTTAGGCAGAAAATGGGGAGCCTTTTCTGTTCTTTGCTGCTTCATTATTGCCTTCAGCTCAAAATAATTTTTATGTCAAAGAGGCAGATTTTGTGGTGACATAATCTGGTTTCCTTTAATAGCTAATCATGGCAGAATTGGATTTGAGCCCAGGTCTTTCTAACTTTAAGACCTGTGTGTGTGTGTGTGTGTGTGTGTGTGTGTGTGTGTGTGTGTGTGTATACGTACACTCCTGTTAGGCAACATTACTTTGTAAAATTTCAGCAGCCACAAAGTTTTATGTAAAGTAGTGGATCATATATCTTTCAGGAAATGGATGTGCACAAGAAAAGTATTACATATAAAAGATTCAAAACAGAATATGCAAATAGTTACCCTTAAGAAAGAAGCCATGCGAATCTGAATAGTAGTCTTTTTGGTAACGAAGGAATAATCATCATTCGGAACATGTTTGTTGCTTTGGATGAATTAGTTAATAAGTATTGAAGAACTTACACACATGATTAGAAATTATGGTAAACTTCATGAAAACAGCACTTACCTGCTGGCACTATTCTAAGCTTTTTACATATATTGACTCATATAGTCCTTACAAATCTCTACAAGATGGATATTATTGCTGTTTTCCATTTCACAGATAAGGAACTTGAAACAAAATGGTTAAGTGATTTGGCCAAGGTCACACAGCCAGTAAGTTGTAGAGTTGGCATCTGAATTCCAGGCATTCTGACTCTAGAGCAGTGGTTCTCATCTAGGGGCAGTTTTGCTCCACCCACCACCCCCTGGACATTTGTTGTTGCTTGGAGTTATTTTTGGTTGCCACTCTTGGGGAATGCTGCTGATATCTGGTGAATAGAGGCCAGGGATGCTGCTAAACCTCCTGCAGTTAATAGAACTTAACCACAATGAAGAATTATCGGCCCAAAATGTCAGTAGTGCTAAGGCTGAGAAACCCTGGTCTAAAGTTTTTGTTATGGGGTGCCTGAGTGGCTCAGTTGGTTAAGCGTCTGCCTTCGGCTCAGGTCGCAATCCCAAGGTTCCAGGATGGAGCCACGTATCTGGCTCCTTGCTCAGCGGGGAACCTGCTTCTCCCTCTGCCTGCAGCTCCCCTTGCTTGTGCTCGCTCGCTCTCTCTTTCTCTGACAAATAAATAAAATCTTTAAGAAAAAATTTTTAAATAAGGTTTTTGTTAAGCTGCCATCTCATGAAGAACTAAAGTGTTAGTGTCTTCTCTATAATGCTTAGTTCTAGGTGTTATGTGACCATATTTTCATCTTTAGAATTAAATGAAAATTGTTTTTCTTTCAGGTGAATCAATTCCAATAAGACTATTTTTAGCGGGATATGACCCAACTCCAACAATGAGAGATGTGAACAAAAAATTTTCAGTAAGGTACTTTTTGAATCTAGTCCTTGTTGATGAGGAAGACAGAAGGTACTTCAAGCAGCAGGTACGGTGCCACCAAGGCTGATGTTCCACCAAGGCTGATGTTTTGTTCTATGACAGTTCTAAAAACACCTGGAAAGCACTCACTTTTCTAAGCTTTACAGTACTGAGCAAGTGGGAGTTTCTATGATAAGAAATTTAAGTGTGAATGGAATAGTGTTGTGATAGATCTCTTCCCTGTCATTTTGCAGAACCCCAGAATGGGCTGTAATTTGGCAGAGCTTTTATTTTTCTTTTGAAAGTTTTTTTTTTTTTTTTTATAAAAATAATACCTACTGTTTGTTAAAAAAATTAGGCAATAAAGAACAGGTTAACAAAAATTCCACCACCATTGTGATTAGTTTTCCAGACAAACTTGTATATGTGTATTTAGATCATATGTGTGTTGTTCTTTAATTTGCTTTTTCATTCAGGAGTGTCTCGAATATCTTTCCTTTATCAACAGATGTAGATTTCCGTTAGCACTTTGAATGATTTCATTAACTTGATGGATTCTGGTTTTCCATTCTGTTGTAAATTTACCTGAGATGACCCAAATCTAATACTTTTTTATATAAAATGTTTATCATAAAACTAGTTCTCATTTGAAAATCAAAAGCCTTTGGTGAATTTTCAATGAAGATTGTGATTGGAATGGTCTTTTATATTATGAACCAGATTAATAAATATTTGAATGTTAATTGAGTACTCAAAACTAAATTAGAAATTATTCTGCACTGAGTATTGTGAAGAATACAAAATCTACCTTTTATAAATGTAGTTTGTCCTCAAGGTCCTCACATTGCATATGTGTGGAAAGAGAAAAATTATAAAAGCTAATTAACAGAAAACTTAAAATTACAGTTTGACAATAATTTAGAAGAGAGAAAACCTTTTCTGTTGATATTGCCATAATGCTGTAAAATTAAAAATAGGTAATTTGTAACTCAAAATAGATTATATAGGGGCGCCTGGGTGGCTCAGTTAAGTGTGACTCTTGATTTCAGCTCAGGTCATGATCTCAGGGTCGTGAGATCGAGCCCCACATTGGGCTCTGCTCTGGGTGTAGAGCCTGCTTGGGATTCTCTTTCTCCCTCTCCCTCTGCCCTTCCCCCCTCTTAAAAAAAAGATTATATAAACTTTACAGTTTCCAAATCAGTTACATATTGTAGCCTTATTGAATAAATACATTGCTTCCCACGGCATTCATTTGGATGTTTGGTAACCAACATAAGCAGCCTGTCATGACTTTACAAAGCAAATTTAGGAATTGTTTTTTTTTAATTTTAGGAATTTAAAAGAGATCTCAGGATGGATTGGTTGGAACAAGATTTGGATAGGCAGAGGAATAAGTATTTGAAGAAAAAAATATATAGGAGAAATTGTAGGGCGGGTTTATTTGGAATGCATTGGGAGGAGAGCGTTAACTGTTTGGCTGGTGAGGGAACAGAGTGATGTTGGTAAGTTGGATAAAGGTTATGAAGGACCTTGAATGCCTGGTCTGAGATTTATCCTAGAGGTGCTGAGAACTACTAAAGTGCAGTCGAAGCCGAGTTTTAGCCAAATCCGGTAGTGATTGGAAGGGTGGGTTAGAAAGGGGCCTCAGGCACTGGAGACCGAGCTGTCTACCAAGAAGCTCTTAGTGTCTGAGGTTGAAGTGACAAAGGTTTGAACTTGGATAAGGGCAAAATAGCAAACCAAGGGCAAATTTTAGGAATTCTTGAAATCAGTAATAGCTAGAATCTTGTGCCACATTGGATTGGCAGTGGTGGTGTGCATAGGTGCTTATGAGAGGGAAGCAGGGCTGGCAGAAGGGGTGGTCCAAGATTAGAACTGGAAGAAAGTAGGTCACTCAGCAAAGAGAACAGCTTTTGTTGGGAAGAATCTAATTTTGTTATAGTTAAAATTGAAGTGGCATTATTTCCATGGTGAAGATTTAAGGCATAATATGAGAATGTTAATTTGTTGATGTCTTGCATATGTTTTACTAGGAGATCATTTTATGGAGAAAAGCTCCTGAAAAATTGAGGAAACAGAGAACAAACTTTCACCAGCGATTTGAAT